GAAGGCGGGAACATCCCAATACATATAGCTGGGCAAGGCAACTAGCTAAGCAAATGAACTTAGAGCGCGCGGGCGCGGGCGGGAAGACTCCCAGCGGGAGATTACATAATGAGTGGGAGAGTCGCGGGATATCCTGAGAGCAGAAAGATTCACACCAAATGTGGACTGCAAGCCCTCCCTACCTCACAAGGCCAGACTGATCACGGCGTCTAGCTCCCACGGCCTCCCGGGCATGTTTACTGCAAGCTGCTGAGCTGCAAACAAGGCGGGAACAGGGAAGGGCAGAATACACATAAATGGCAGCTAGCTGACACACGTGCTTTGGGGGTGGTGTCCCCCCCTAGTGGCCCAATCCCCGCTGGCAGGGAACGGGCCTCTTGGGCAGGGATTTCCCCCCCCCCATGGGGGACTTGGCAACCCTATTAAGCTAGCCCAATCTCATGAGATCTCAGAAGCTAAGCAGGGTTGGCCCTGGTTAGTACTAGGGTGGGAGGCCAGCAAGAGAGTCCAGCCTTGCCGTGCAGAGGCAGGCCATTGGGAAACCACCTCTGAATGTCTCTGGCCTTGCAAACCCCACGAGGGGACTCGCCGCAAGAAGGCTGTGACTTGACAACGCTTTCCGCTGTCGCCACGGGACTAGGATACCAATGAGGTAGTCAAGCGACTTGATGAAAACCAGGGGTCATTTCCTGTGGGAGTGCACAGGAGTGGAGCTCTGGCAGTAAGGAGCTCAGGGGGTGGGCACATGCAACAAGCCCCGCCCCCTGCTCCCAGCAGCCCTCACAAGGAGCAAGAAGCAGCCAGGTAAGTTGCAGAGGGCCCCCCCCGGCCTGCCTTCAGGTACAAACTCTCCCTCCTCTGTGAGGGCAGATCTGTGTGTTTCCCCCCCCCATAGCTAGAAATCCAAAACAGTCCAGTGGAGCCTGAGAGGTGGGTGTTGCCTTCTGACACACTTCCAGTGACGTCAGGGGGTGTGGCATATGCAAATAAGTTATGCTAATAAGTTATGCTAATGAGCTCCTGCACCTCTTTTTCTACGAAATGAACCCTGAGGAAAACACATAAGCAATGAAAAAGGAAAGCATTGACTTATGATATTTATAGTCCACCAGGCCCTTAACCAGACATTTTTTATTGGGGTGGGGTGGAGAATGAGTGCAGCGGTGGTCAGCCCATTATTTATTTATTATTTATACTTTATTAGTTATTTACCAAGACTCGAAGTAGATTATGTTGTATTAAACACTGTCCCCAAACAGCATGAGAGATCTGATAAAAAGGCAATAGGACGAGGCGCACAAAAATCACAAAAAATGCAAAAAAAAAAAAGGATCAAACATTCTGCTATGTCAAGCAATGCAGAAAATGGAATTGCAAAAAATGAAAACAATGTTGGAAGGAGCACGATAGAACATACGACAAATCAATCATATATAGCATACACTGTGGCACAGACTACAGTCCTGTTCTGTATAAGCTTTATAAAAATGCCCTCCCAAACAACTGTTTTACATAGTTTGCAGAATTAAAGAAGTGTGAGAGCCTTCTTCTGGTTACTGAAACCTAAAACTGTAAATTCAACCTTCTTTACTCTGTAAATCACTAACTCAGAACTTCTAATGGTGCCCCAACACCCTTGCACGCTTTTAAAATCGGGAGTCTTTAGCCCTGCTAACTGCTAATTCTGTTCTAGCCAATTGAATAGAGAATTCACCCTTGGAAGATTTATGACAGGATTCACACTTCTTACCTCAACTCCTTCCTTTTTTACAAAGAAAATTTACACCCTGAAAGACCTGTGACAGATTTCACACCGGCCTGTAATGCTGATTGGAGGGGCATGGTGAATGATTGATGTGGGCACCGCCTCCTTTTGCACCACTGTGGCCTTTAAAAAAAAAAAACTAGTCGTTTCCCTTTTGAGAGTTCCAGCAAAAACAACGATCTTGTCCAAGAGTTCCATCCAGAGAAATCAGATTGGCTTATCACATCAATGCATTTATGGCAGAAAAACTGCAACCTTATCTTACGCTAAATCGCTTCTAGACTTAAACATGTGATCATCATTTAGATAAATGATCAGTTCTTAACTACTGATGAGCTAATCAAATGGGTACTGCAAAAATACATCTGATACGTGCTCATTATCTTTTTGAAGCCAGATGAGAAGGCCAAACTTAACTTTTCATCTCTGTTAAATACTATCGATCTAGCATTTCTGCAACTGTTTTATTTAGCAGTCAAAGATAAAAGAAAAACTTGGCCCCTTTTGTAGCTGGACACCTTTGCATATTAGGCTAATGTAGCCAATCCTCCAAGAGCTTACAGAGCTCTTCTTACAGGGGCTACTGTAAGCTCTTGGGGGATTGGCTAATATGCAAAGAAGTTCCTGCTACAAAAAGAACCCTACAATCAATCAAATGGGACCTTCAGTAACCAATGCATTAAAATGTTTGAAGTCTGGAACCACCAGAAAGAACTGAAACATAGCATTCACATTAACACGAAACCCTAAGCGGTACAGAAATTACACAATAGGATCTTGTTTAACAATAAGCTGTACACAACAAGCTACATGCAACGTTATCGACCATAGTCTCAATCATTTATCCAAGTAAGCTTGTAAACTATTTTGTACAATGCAACCCTGTTTCCTGCACAGAAAAAGCCCTCTTGGATACCTCGGTTTTGCATCGTTTGCCAAAAGCCAGGAGAGGCCATCCCACAAGGTGGGAGCCACGTTAGCACAGCAGACTAGCTAAATGCATTCTGTAGCATAATCTGCCCTGACCCGGATAGCCCAAGCTACCCTGATCTCAGCAGCTAAGTGGGGTCGGCCCTGGCAACAGGGATCATTTCCTGCGGGAGCACACAGGAGCGGAGCTCCGGCAGTAAGGAGCCCAGGGGGCGGGCACATGCAACAAGCCCCGCCCCCTGCTCCCAGCAGCCCTCAGTTGGGCCACGAGGAGCAAGAAGCAGCCAGGTAAGTTGCAGAGCCCCGGCCCGCCTTCAGGTACAAGCTCTCCCTCCTCTGTGAGGGCAGATCTGTGCTTTTCCCTCCCCCCAATAGCTAGCAATCCAAAACAGTCCAGTGGAGCCTGAGCGGTGGGTGTTGCCTTCTGACACACTTCCGGTGACGTCAGGGGGTGTGGCATATGCAAATGAGGTATGCTCATGAGTTATGCTAATGAGCTCCTGCACCTCTCCTTCTACGAAATGACCCCTGGCCCTGGCTAGTGTTTGGATGGGAGACCACCCAGGAATACCAGAGTCACGACGCAGGGGCAGGCCCTGGCAAGCCACCTCTGAAAGTCTCTTGCCTTGAAGACCCCCCACCAGGGGTCGCCATGAGTCAGCTGTGACTTGATGGCCAAAACAACAACAAAAAGCATAATCTAGGATGTCTTGTGGCCAGTGGTGTAAACTCCAGGGTTCAGCCTTCCTCCTTGGTCCTCTAGTGTGGTCAAGGAAGAGAACAAAAGACCTAATAGCTGGGTGAGGACTGTTTGAATTCATCCCGTTGGTTTATCCCGCTGGCTCCATTCCACCAGGAAACGGGGGGGGGGGACTCATTCCCCCCCCTGCTAACTGGCCACAAGCTTATTGTGTCCAGATGGATGTGCAATACGACTCTTCCCTGCATGGCTCATCTATTAACCCATTCGTGCCTGCCAGCTGTCGGATCACCACGGAGTTTTGTGACACAATGGTCCTGGTCACACGGGAGGATTTGCCCCGCTAGAGAGACGGATCGGGGGCGCATCAAGTGGGCGCGATCACATCGCTACATCTGGGAAGTGGTGCACACCTGTCCCCGATCCATCCCTTCCGGGCGAAACTGCGCATTAAAAAAACCCCTAGAAAACACTACTACCTACCTGAAAATCCGCTGCAGGGACGGCTGTCTGATCGCCAGTGCACCTGTCTCTCCCGCAGCATGCGATGTCCTGCCAAACTGCGCATGCACATGCATGCGCAGCGGGCTGGCCTCGCTCTCCGGTCTGTGGCTTCCTCCCGGCATCTGATCGTGCCAGGGAGGACCTGCGCGGCAGCTGGGGGGATCTGTCTGATCCCGCCGCCGCGCGTCTCTTTTGGTGCGGCTCAGAAAAGCTGCACTCTGGCCGTGCCTATTTCCCCCAGTGTGACCAGGGCCAAACAGTTCCATTTTAGAGGCGAGGCAAAGGCATTTTTAGGGAGGGTGAGAACATAGCAGAGGCTGACAACAAAGGCTCCGGTCACACGGGCCGGAAAATGTGTGTGTGTGGGGAAGCGTGGCTGTTTGCCCCGGAGCTGTTTGCCCCGTCCCGTGGTTCGGGGGGAGGTGGCGATCACACGAAGATCCTGCAGCGCGGCAAAGAAGCGGCGCGGCGCGATCTCACCAACGGCATGCGCGATTCTGCGGAGCAACAGAACTTTCGCTTTCCTCTCCATGCGCATGCGCTGTTTGGTGCTTGTGCGCATCCTGTGGAGACTTGGAGAAAAAAAACACCTGTTTGCGACGGGACATGGGCGGGCGCCGGATGTCACGGACTACCACCGGAAACGCGATCAGACGCCAGCCCTTGCCCCGCGGTTTTCGGAAACTAGTACCTCGGAGGTACTAGTTTTTAACTCCGCATCTTCGGCGGGAAGCCTCGGGTTCGCCATGGGAGCTCTACGACTCCACGATGTTGCGGTGTGATTGTGCCCGGAAAGTCCGCCTATCATCCGTCTCAGTAGCGTGGCTAATGCTCCGTGTGACCACAGCCATAGTCTGGTTTTTAACAGCACAGCTGAGTGGTTGAAGGGTTAAATACCCCCTCTGTTCTCTTCGTGGCCCTGAGGCAAATTGAGGCTGCAAATCTGGTTTGCCTTTTTTTAAAAAATAGAATGAGATGTATAATCTTCGTCCTGTCTGTTTGAACCTTTAAGGTGAAAGCTGTTCTTAGTGGCAAGTACGTCTTCTCGTGGACAGTTGTGCAGGGCTTCTGCTTGGCTACTGAAAATGTAATAGGCTCTGCGGATTTTTTTTGGGGGGGAAGAATGTTCCTTTGGCAGCACTTACCACCACAGCGCAAAGGTCTTTACTGGGTGAGTGAAGATAAGCCACGGCAGCCATTTTGTGACTGTCTCTGTCTCCTGAGGCAGCCATTTTGGGGCTGCACTCACCACACTGTGTTGGAGTTTGAAAAGTACCCACAGGGTCAAAAAAGTTGGGGACCCCTGGCCTCAAGGTTTCACATGGAAATTTCTGCCATTGAGCCAAAAACAGAACAAAACAAAACCCCATTTCCAGATCTAGCTGTACAGGAAATCAAAACACCATTAGAATACCTTATTAGAATAATTAATTTGCCCTTTGAATACACAAACAACAATATGGTCCACGATGTTCCTCTAGCTTGAATGGAGAAGGGTTTTTTTGAAGCATACACACTGATGGAGGTCAGTAGATGAATTTGGCTTGCAGGAGCCCAACAAAACTGGACAGGAGGAAGGTGAAAGGAACACTCCTCGTAGTCTGGCTTGCACCGTCCTTAGCATCTGTCATGGTGATGCGAGTAAAATGGTAGGCGGCGTCTCCAAAGACCAGCGTGGTGCCATTTTCAATAGAGTCTGCCGTAGAGGTGGCGCAGCCCTGACCAGCAAATGTGCTGTGGGTGTTACCTGTGATAGGGCAATGGAAAAGAAATCAGTACCCAAAATGATTTTCAGCCCAGTGAGCAAAGTTCCCTTATGCCAAGGCCAGTCACATATATGGCAGCCCATCCGAGACCCTTGAAACCTTGCTTTTGGTAGATCTCATAGGGATCTACCAAAGGCTGAGGGACTTGGGAATCTTCGGTCTGGAGAAGAGGAGGTTGAGAAGAGGACATGCTTGCTTCTCTTGAAGTATTTGAAGGGCTCTCAGAGGAGGGCAGGGAGCTGTTCCAGTTGGCAGCAGAGGAGAAGAGTTGTGAGAATAGGTATAAATTAAGGGCGGGAAGGTTGATCTCAGGGAAAACATTCTTACAGCGAGAGTTGTGCAACAGTGGCTGCCTAGGGAGGTGGTGAGCTCCCCCTCACTCGCGGTCTTTAAGCAGCGGCTGGACAAACCCTTGTCAGGGATGCACTAGGCTGGTCCTGCATTGAGCAGGGGGTGGGGCTAGATGGCCCCTTCCGACACTGTGATACTATGATTCTGTGATTCTATAATGGTGTGTCCCTGCCAGACCAATCAGTGATATTTGTGCCTCGCTTGGACTAGGAAGGTTTCCTTGACTGCAGAACTGGGGGGTCAGTTCTGGGTACAATCTATATAAGGATAAGGCCAGAGCGTAGGCACAGATGGTGTCAAAAGTGTGCAGCGCTGCTCTTTCTTCTATCAAGCTTAAAGTGTACACCATAAACCAGGGCTATTTTTGGGCAGGAACGCACAGGAACGGAGTTCCAGCTGGCTCCCAAGTTGGCCACGCCCAGCAGGAACTCATTAGCATAATAGGCCACACCCAACAGCAGAAACTCATTAGAATTGGCTACATTAAGGGTGTGTGGCCTAACATGCAAATGAGTTCCTGCTACAAAAAAGGCCCTGGGTTTTGACCACAAACAAGGTAAACAGAATAAGAAGCAAAAGGTGGGTGTGGCTGGATGAGCACACTTCTGGTAACATGGGAATGCAGCTTAATATGCTAATGAGTGGTGCAGTCAGGGGTGTGGCCTAATATGCTAATGAGTCTCTGCTTCTGGGTGTGGCCTATTATGCTAATGAGTTCCTGCTGGACTTTTTCTACAAAAAAA